GCGGCCCGCGCTGGCCGGTCCCTTCAGGGGCCGGAGGGTGAAGGCCGCCGGGGCTCCCCGGGGAGCTGGCTCAGCTTCCCCTTAGCCAGCGCGGGGCCCTTCCTTCCTGGCGGCCACTTCGCCCGTTTCCAGGGCTTATGAGTGGTAACAGCTCGCTGGGCTTTAAACCTTCGAGACGTTCACATGATGCTTAAGTTGATAATCCCCTCATGAGGAAGCAAAGCCTGCTCTTGGTCTCTGGCTGTTCATGGTGTGCAGCTGGAAGCTGGATGCGGTGCTGGGAATTACGGTAGCCTGTTGTTGGGTACTTAAAAGCACAACCCCAAACCACCCGGGGTGCGCCATTGCTCTGACATGTCATTTTCTCGCTTCTTGAGCTAGTGTCAAAGGAGCCTGGCTGATCGGTGTGTTCAGAGCCGCAGGTGAGCAGGCTGCCTCGGCAAACACAGTGGTGTTTTGCCCGGAGGACACTCTGGTCTCTGATTCAGTCCTGGTGCAGGAGGTGCTGATGGTAAAGTCGTTCCTGGCTGTTTAGCATGTCAGGTACTAAAAAATCTGTAGCCTGTTTGTGGTATCAGACTTACTGTAGTGTAGTAGAGCCAAACCCAAAGACTGAAGGCAGAAGAGTGGGAGGATTCTGAAAAATCCAGGGGTAGTGACAGAAGCGTCTGCTCCAATATTTCCTTGCGGCAGAGCTACATTTTAATGCTGCAGAAGAGGAGCGCAGGGGAGAGCATTCTTCTAAACTTCACACTTGGCAGGTAGAATGTGAGTTTCATAAACTAACCTGAAACTGCCCTTGTCGGCTGCTTCCCGCTCCCTGTGCCACACTGAGCGCCGCAGGGGCCTGCGGTGAGCAATCCCTTCTCTAAGGGATTGATGCCAGTGAGATATGGAGAAGGCTGTTTCTATCCGTGGCCTGAAAAGCCTCTGAAGGAAGAGCTGCTCCGCCAGCCCCTCCATTGTGTAACTCGTGTGCCCTGCCCTGGCTGTGGGGCTCCTGGGCTTGGTGTCTAACGATGCTGATTCTTCAAGTAAGCAGAGTAGGGGGCTGGAAGTAAGGGGGTTTACCTCTCATCAGTGTTCAGATTTGCCATTATGGAGCAGCCTCCATGAGAGATGGTCCTTGTAAACTGCAGTGTCCCAACTTCTGGTAGCTCACCATGTAGAATGGCTGGCTGCAGGGTAGGTAGGTGTGTGCATGGACTCTGTGCCCTCAGGAGGAGGTACCCTGGCTGAAAGCACTTGTCTTTGACCTGCTTGTGTAGTGACTGCCTGGTTATGCAAAAATTAAGGGGAGAGTAGATTTTATAGCTGTTAGTGAAAACAGAAAAAAGCATCACAGCCTCATCAATCCCCTTCCAAGGCCAAGAAACAAAGGTCATGCCAGGGAGGAGAGTGAGCCCTGTGGGCCGCTGCAGGCTCCTGCCAGGCTCGGCTGCCCTGGGTGTGCAGACACAGTTTACACCATGACGACTCCTCCCTCTGCTCGGGGGAGAGGTTGTTTTTAGTTTGAAGGTGACTCGGGAGAACGTTATCTGCTCTTGTCTGCCTTCACCACTGTCCAGCTTGATCAGATACCGCACTGTGCCCAAGAGAAGTGTCTAGCCCAGCTCTGTGAAGAGGCGTCTTGTTTTTGTGAGCCCATTTCAACTTGCAGCCTGTCACCATTTGGAAAACATTTGAGCAGCTCTGATTCCAGTGGGTTGATGCTGGCTGTGCTTGTATGCCCCTGGGCTCGGCAGGCGCTTTCCGCAACCTTGAGTGCCCAACACTTTGATTGCCTGGTCTGCTTTGTGTTGGGGAGGAGAGGGGATATTAATCCCATGTGAATGCAAATGGTACTTGCTGTCGTTACTGCTTGCTG